GAAAAGATAAATTAATGTATATAATGCATACAAAATGTTTACTATTTGCCTTCTTTATGCCAAGCACTATGCTGGAAATATAATGGTGAACAAAAGCAGACATAATCTCTGTGCTTAGAGAGCTTACATCTAATGGAGAAAGTGCACTAACTGACCAAAAATAAAACCGTTATTAGTGTCAAAATGTGTATACGGTGTCATAAGGTTTGGTGATAGGGCACACAAATTAGAGAGCTTCCTCAGGAAAGTTAAGAGTTGAGCAATGATGCAAAAATGAGTAGGAATGACCTACAAAGAAAGGAAGAGTACTGTGAACAGAGAGAGTAGTTTGCACAGCGACTGTATTGTGGGAGGCAGCATGGGACCTCAGAGGAAGTAAAAGCAGAAGGGAAAGGGAACGTAGCTCACTAACTGAGGCTGAAGCTGGGGCAGTGGTCAGGCCATGCCACACAGATCCTAACACTTGTTCTAACAAAATCGGAAGCCACCAAAACGATATAAGCAAGTGACAGGAAGAAGAAAGAGAGAGGGAAGAAGACAGAGTCAAGCTCAAGGAGAGGTGTGAGCTGGAGCATCTATCTGTGATTCATCAGCACATAATTAGTAGTTGAAGACACAGACCTAAGTGAGATCACAGAGGGAGTGAATATAGAGTAAGAAGAGAAGTAGTCCTAGGACAGGGCCTTAAAAGAAATCCAGCCTTTAATCACAAGACAGAGGACACTGAGGCTGCAAAAGGGTGACTGGGGAGGGCGGGCGGGGGTGCCAAGGAAACCAGGGGAAGAGTGTTTGATGGAGCTGGCACCACCCGAGTCTGGGGAAACATTCACTAGTAACATGATCGCTTCAAATAAAGGTCATTGGTAGAGTTAGTAAGAGCCATCTGACAGAAGTGAGAGAAGGAAAAGCAAGAATGGGTTAAAAAAAAAAAAAAATGAAGACGAGAAAACAGAGGCAGTACCTGGCCACAATCTCTTATTTGAAATTCCAAAACCTGAAAGCTCTGGAAAATTAAGGTTTTTGTTTTAATTTGGAAGCAAAACCTGACCTGGACTGACATGAAGGCTATTTGTAGCCCTTATTTATCCCACTTAGAGTGAAAGACCATACATTTCAAGGTCAGAAATCATCATATGATGACCACAGGGTGCTGCCCCCCATCTCACTGAGGCTGTCATACCATAGGTAGTACGTACATGGTAATGCTTTCCTAAATCTCAAAACTTCTGATTTCTGAGTTAAATATGGTCCCAAGGGCTTTAGATGAGAGATTACAGATATGTGCAAATGACTCACTTAAAAAGTTTGGGAGGGCTATGGTAGAATGGTAGGAAAAGAGTCAGCTGATAGGGTAGAACTGAGAGGGACTGGTTGAAAAAATTGGGAAGAGAAAAGATCACATTAGATATTTTAGAATTCCTGAAGGCAGAAAGGGATGGGATGTGAAGCACAGGCCGAGTCTAAACTAAGATAGGCGAAGGGCTCTTTTGACTGTAATAGGAAGTAGGTTTGTGTGTTGAGGAGGTGGAAGATGAAAATTCCTAATGGTTAGCTTCTATTTTCAACATAACAAGGAGCCAGTTACCTGGTGAGACTGAGGGTGAACAAGGAAAGTAAAAAGACC